CACTTCTTCATTATCAAGGACCACAACTTTCTCCCCCTCACAGAGAGCCCCTCCAGGCCCAGCCTGGTCCTCTAACAGCTTTCAGATGTGTCTGGGTCAGTTCTACAATTACAGCTGAGACAGGCAGAAAGCGTATGGCCTTGTGACTTTTGACCCAAGCTTGTGAGGTTGACATCTTCCTCTTTGGCTCGCCCCCCACCCCAAGCAGGGCAGCCTGTGGTCTCCTGCATCCTGAGGCTTCCACTGACATGTCTGATTATTTCAGTAACAAAGTTAGAAGCTGCTTTTTAAGAAACAAAGAGTGAACCAGGCCTATTATGATGATGACTCTCTCGTTGAGTCTTGATCCTCAACTTGTGAGATATGAATACTTTCAACCTAATTTACAGGTAAGGAGGCTCAGGCTCAGAGAAAGTGAAGTGACTTCCCAAAGAATGCTCAGCCTGCAATGGGAGGAAACAGGAATTATACCCAGGTTTTATAACTTAAAAAACACAAGACTACTTCTAGCACCAGCAGGCTGCCATTTGTGCTGCCCGTGAAGCAGAGAGTTGATCCTGCTCCTCTGGTGGAGGAAATGTATTGCAGAAGCACCCCCCAAAACATAAGTGGCCAAAGGGAAAGCCCTGTTAAACATTATTTCAAGCCTTCTACCTGGAGGCTCCATTTGTTTATTTCACTTACTACAAACCTTCCATGTGTTCCTTGAAATGCATCTCTTTCTCTTCAGATTCTAGTGAAACATTTTTTTAAAAACATATATTCTTGTTCAAATTGTGTGATCTTTATTTTTTGTATTTTTATTAGTGCATTGCCATTACACATAATAGTGGGGTTCACTGTGACATATCCAGAAATGCGTATTTCAGTCCTCAGTACTTCCTCGTTCCCTCCCCATCCCCGATTCCTTTCCTCTGCTGCCCTTCCTTCTATTTACTTTTTCAATTGGTGCATTACAATCATCCATGAAAGTGAGGAGTGAAAGTATTGGGCATTACAGACCTTGTCCTCATGCCTCGCTTGTGTAATTCTTGAGACAGCCATGCACTGTCTGTCAGATGTTCCCCATTCGATTGATGGAGAAACAAGTTGAACAATGAGATGCAGTGCACTCAAGTTCATTCATTCACATGAATCTTTACTGATTGCCTATCACATGCCTAATGGAATGAGGGAGATAGCTATACTCAGACTGAGGAGTACCCCTGGGCATGCAGGCTAGGGTTTGGATCCTGCCTCTGCAGCTTTCTAGATGAGTTGGTGTGTGGATGGCAAGTGCTTTCCCAATGTTCCTCAGTGTCTTACCTCCTCACTTTGCCACTTGCCTGTTTTCATATCTCTGAGTTTCTTTGTGGTCCTATTACCAATGCTTCTGCGTGGCTTACCAATGATAACTCACTTCAGAAAAGGCTCACTTTTCATATCCATCCACCCCAAACTGGCGAGGTGCATCCCAGTCTGCCTATCACAGATGCCCAGTACAGAGAGGAGAAGTGAGCTTAGAGGTGAAGTGACTTCCCCAAGGTCACAGACTAAGGGAGTAGAACTGGAATATGAACCCAATTATGACTATCTCCAAGACCAGGCTCCTTCCTCTGTCACACTTGTGTTCCTTTTCAAGTTTTGATTCATGGAATCTTTTATAAAAACAACCTTTGAGGCATGAAGTTATGGGGCATTGAAGCTACATGGGCTCAGGCTCTCGAAACCATTGACAGCAGAAATGGTGGCAGAAAGTGAGAAGTGCAAGTTTTAGAGTAACACAGAGCTTAGGCTTGACGTGTTCTTTTCCTAAATCTATGAATTTGGAAAAATTGCTTGGCTTTTATTTTTAGTCTCTTCTTCTGAAAGATGGAAATAATGAGGATGATTATTTTAGCATGCTTTTATAAGATCAGGAAATTTCTTGAGGGGGCACTACTCCATGTAGTGGGATTTAGCAAGTGTAGCTGAAGAAATTGTATCTGCACAAAGTTGAGGGCTACAGACCTGTGGCCAGAAGCAAGTATCTGGCAGAGGTGTGATGCCTGAGCATTGGAGTCAGTCAAGCCTAGGCTTAAATGGCCAGTCCAGGAATTACTGTGTGACTCTGGGCAAGCTGCTTTCCCTCTCAGGGACTCAGGTATGAAATAGAGAGAGTAATAATGCCTATCTTGAAGGATTTCTTGAGGGAATTGGCTGTGAGCAGGTAGGTAAGACTATTTAGATAATGCTTAATGCATATTAAAATCTTAGCATATGTTAATTACTATATACAACAAACTCATTGTTATTAAGTGCCTAATATCTACAATCAGTGCTCTCTCATTCTAAAACTTGGCGATTGTAGTGATATACCCATTGTATAGCATGAGTTAGTTGAGGTACTAAAGAAAGAGGCAAAAATATGGGAACACTAGGAGTTTAGGGTCTTCTGCTTAATATAGGGAGTCCTCTACCCACTGGACATCACTGACTCTACCCTTGACCTTGAAACTTGGCAACAAAGGATCACATGACAAGAACAGGCCAATTGGATGGAAGATACTTCTATTCCAACTTCCTTTCCTCCAAACCTTACCTCCTCTGGAAAGTCTCTGCTCCCTCCTTAAACTTTGTATAAACCATAGAACTCAGAATCTGGAGATATGAAAAGTCACAGAGTGTCCCTGGAGGTAGACAGGGACTGCTTTAAAAAAATTTCTGTGCTCTTGGTTAGACCTGAATCCACCAGGTGTGCATTTACCATTTCCCCCTTCTGAGGCTGCACGGGTTATGTCCACTACCACCAACACAGCATGGGGCATCAGACACATGACATCACAGGAGCATAGGGACGCGCTTTGTACCTAGAATAGCTCCCAGCTCCCTCTCTTGACATACAAGGTCCCCACTGACCTTCCACCTGCCCTCCTTTTGCTCTATTCACTCCAGCTATCTATTCCTTCAACAGTCTGGGCTCCTCCTCTCCTCAGGGCCTTTGCACTCATTGATCTTCCTGCATGACATGATCTTCTGCCAGGTCTTTCTCCCATAAGCTGATTCTTTCTCAATATTCAGTTATCATCTCTAACTTTCCCTCTTCTAGAAGGCCTTCATGAACTACATGTCGAATGCACATACATTCCACTTTTTCACATTATTCTGTATTGTTCTTTATCATATTTATCATTATCTGATTTTTTTTTGTTTATGTGTTTAGTCTTCAGCAAGTAGGAAACTTGACTCCCTTGTTCACCTTCATAACCTTAGCACCTAAACTAATTCATTCATAGTGAATGAAAGAACATATGAATGTGTGTGTAGAGCCATAGGGCCACACTGGGGCTGACTTCTCACGTCCTAGACTCGGTCTGCTTGAGTTCAAACCCCTATTCAGTCCCCCAGTGACTATGAGAACACAGAAAGCTACACAGTATCCTCCTTCATATAATTTGAGTGACAATAATTCTCTGCCTTTTAGGCTTGTTTAATTGCAAATTAGGAGATTACGTGCCAAGTGCCCAGCATGCATTCAATGCTCAATGAAAGTTTTACAATTATCCTTCTTTTTTAAAAAAATATCATTTCCTTGCAGTGTAAGCATCCCTGAGTTCTTTGTACCACTGGTCCTGTACCATGACTTTGTGCTCCTTCCTTTAACTTCTGGTGCCTTCTGTGAAGTCTGAGCCTTGTACTCTCTTTGCTTGCTGTGATATAGGTTCACTCTGTATGCTGTGGATACACGGGGGAGGCACTCTGAGCTGAGCACAGTGACCCTGAGGACCGCCTGTCCACTGGTGGATGACAACAAGGCAGAAGGTAGGTGACCTGCCTCCTCACTTTCCAAGTAGGTTTCACATTTCCTCTCTGTTAAGTTCTCCATCCAACAGTCACTAACGAGCACTGTGTGTGCATATGTGTGCACACATACATATTAGCACAGAGAGAAAAAGCTGAAGGAATTAAGGGAGCAGGAAGAAGATGGAACTAAATTAATCACGGGTATGAAGGAAAAATTTGAGATTGACTAGTAATATCTTTGTCAGTGGAAAAACTGACTAGTAGGTAAGGAGTGGTAGAGTACCAGAGCCCCTTAGTCTGGCCTTCTTAGGGACCAATCATTTTCTTCTATTTAAGTCTATGCTAGAGCTGGCAAATAAGTGGCATTTAGAACAATACTTCACCTTTTTTGTGCCTTGGCAGACATCATTAATTGATCACAGCACACTGTGGCCTCTGACTCAATGGTGGCCTCCAAATCCTCATCATAGAGCTACTCCATGCCTATCTGTCCAAGTGAGCATGAAAGAGTCAACTTTTTTTTTTTAAAGGCAATGACTGCATCTTTTTTTTTATTAACCTTTATTTTATTTATTTATTTTTTATGTGGTGCTGAGGATTGAACCCAGCGCCTTGCACGTGCTTATGAGTACTGTACCACTGAGCCACAACCCCAGCCCAAGATTAAACTTTTTTGCTGCTCCTGGTCATTTGACAAAAACGACCTAAAAAAATATAACCCATCAATCAAATCCACTATATAAATGTTTTGATATAGTTTCTACATCTAGACAAATTAAAAATAACGAATAGAAACTCATGGGTCCTGGTCACCCACTTTAAGTTGAGCAAATATTTCCCGAAAACCCTGGTGTGAGTAATGCTATGAAGACATGATTTCTACCTTTTTGGAGTTTAAATTCTGGATGGAGAGACAGACATGACTTAATAAGAAATTTGATAATACGAATTTCATGTGTTATCAGATAAGAGGAAATTGACCTCAAGAGCAAGGAGATTTGGGATATTTTCTTATTTTAATCGTTGTTATTTTAAAATAACATTTTTATTATTACTTTAAAATAACATATACACTTGATTATAAAACAAGAATAAAAATTAGAGGGAAAAAATAATATAAAGTGAATCTTTTTTCCTGGTCTTAAGGTCCTCTAGATTCTCCTACAGGTAACTATTGTTAGTAATGATTTGGGAACCCATCAAGATTTTGATCTGAGCCTTCAAAGGTAAAGAACTGTTCCTTCTACTCATGACAAATTCACACTGCACTGGCTAGTAGAAATGACGCAGGGCTGGGAACGTCCCTGCTTGGCAAGCAGAAGAGTCAGAATTTTCTTTAAAAGGTTTTGGAACAGGGGCCTATCAGACCTGATTACAGAAATGTGTTGGAAATATTACAGAGGGGAGGTAGAATGAGGATGCTGAGTTGAACCAAGTCAATTTATTGAAACCTCTGCATTTGTTTGGAATTTCTGTTAAATCGTGAGCTCAATAATCATATCAATAATTTGTATTTGAGTATTGAGTGTTTTATATTCATTTTGTTTTATTTCTCTAGGGCCTCATACATACTAGGCAAGCACTCTACCAGTGAAGTACAGCAAGCCCTACATTCAGTTTTGACTTAGCTCTTCCAGTGCACCCCCAGAGTAGCCATTATTATCTTTGGTTACTAGGTAGGAAATCAAGTGCAACTGGTCACTGACATACAAAGGGCAGATTTAAGATTTGTCTGTGTCCACAGAGACCATGCAAGTGAGTCCTGCACAACTGTGACCTCCTTGTTATGAGCCATGCCTCTGCCCTCCCTTTTCCCCACTGGGCAGTGATCTGTTTCTGTACTTCTTTCCTCTCAGAGATAGCTGACAAGATTTACAATCTGTACAATGGGTACACGAGCGGAAAGGAGCAGCAGACGGCCTACAACACGCTGATGGAGGTCTCGGCCTCCATGCTGTTCCGAGTTCAGCACCACTACAACTCCCACTATGAAAAGTTTGGTGACTTCGTCTGGAGGAGTGAGGATGAGCTGGGGCCCAGGTATGGGTTTAGGAGCCTGAGGAGAGGGGCAGACACTTCCTGCTTCTGATTGGTGTTGCTGGACCCTTTTCTCATAGACTTACAACGAACTTTATCAAATAAATAAAGGTGATGATCAGTAGAGGCATGTCATCTTTAGAGATGGAAAAGGGGCAGCAAGATTCACTTCTTACTGAAAATGTATTAGGATACATTCAAATCATCTGGTAATGGGAAAATAGCACTCTCTGCCCTTAATAGAAACTCAACGACTAATTAAACGGTCAATAGAGTAGAACAACAAAAACTGAACAAAGCAAAAATATTGTTCAATTCCATCAGAGCATGAGATTTTTCCCCTATAAAAGGGAGATCAACAAGAGAAATGTTAAAAACACAGTTCCAGAACTATTCTTCTTCTGAAAGAGAGGCAGAGACAGAAGGAGGTAATCTAACCACTTTTTCAAATGTGATTCATTGTTATTTAATGTCATCTGTGATCAACTTGAGTACCATCTATGATCCTTTGGCCTAAGCCAGAAGAACTCCTTCTCCTTCTACCCTTTGGTAAGCATTGTGTTTGGAGGAACTGAAGAATTTCCGAACAGTTGCAGCAAAGTGCCTGCCAGCAGGAGTGGTAAGAGATAAGAAGGCAGAGGTCAGTAGGGGCCAGATCCTGAATGCCCTTTAAATAGGGTTAAGGAGCTTGGATTATCTCCCTAGGGTAATGGCAAGCTTTTCAAGTGTTTTTCACAGGGAGGTGATATTATCAGATCTTCAAGGAAGAAAGATCCTCTGACTTCAGTTGGAAGCAAGGAGCAGAGAAGTTAAGACAAGAGAGAGGCCCTGAATGCTGTTGTGATGATAGGCCCCGGGAAACAGGACGGTATTCTCAGCCAGGGCAGCACTGGTAGCACCGGAGAGAATTGCATGTCTTTTGGAAATACTCCAGGCTTTAAAAATTCAAAATGCCCCTGTAGAAGATTCTTCCTATTTTTTTGGATAAGGAAGTTTAAGTCTTATGGGGTTCGATGAACTATCCAGAATTGCACAGCGTTTGGCATGGAGGCCACTCCTGCCTTAAACTCTTACCCTGAGCTCTTGTAACACTTGCAGTGTCTTCGGAGAATTTGAGGCCTTCAAGGGATGAGATGAGAGCATGGTCAAAGGATAAAAGGGGTCTCTCCTTTGGTCAGCCTTATCAGTTCTGTTGGGTCCTGAACCTTAAATTTTTCCCTTTCACATTAAAGGAAGGTTCTTTAGATACAAGCTAAAAGAAGGTAGATTGGCAGGCAGAAGCCCCGAGCACCAGATGAAAGCCACTCATGAGTCATCTTGGCTGCCATCTTGCCCCTGGACTGGGAAAGGTGCTCCACTTTATTGGGCTTTCCCACAGGGCTCAGGGACTTTGGGTGGAAGCTAAACCAGAGCTCCACTCCTGATTCTGCCTTTACAACCTGCTAGGATTCTTTATGATCCTCCAGAACATAAATCTTTCAGAAAGGCCTCCTGGCCTCCCACAGAGGCAGGACAACACATTCAGTGACGGGGGACTGTGATAACCCGCTTGCCTCCATTCAGCCAGTCTTCAGCCACTGTCCACCAACCCCCATCCATGTCACCCAGCTTCCTCATTTTCTGGTCTTTCTAGTCTCCCGAAGGGGATCTGAGATTGCAGGAACATCCCCTATTGATTGCATGAACATCCCCTACTGGTATGTCAACAAGAATCAAAAGAACTGCATCCTGATCCATCCTGGCCCTACTATTAAACTCACTGTGCAATCCTGGGCTCTGCGCCTTTCTGGCCTCCAGTCTTCTTTCTGTAAGATGATCTGGGTGAAGAGATGCAGTAGAATTATTTTTTAAAAAAATATTATTAGTGGAATTATTTTTCCTAGATCAATCTTACCTAGAACCACAGGTTTTAGAAGGCCAGCCCCTCAGAGAATTCCTTAAAATGTAGCCCATTTCCTTTATTACACTCTCATGTTTTAATTCTCTTCATTGGAATCACCAGGTTTTGTGTCTTATATTTGCTTATGTATTTACTTACATATTACCTCTCTTCCCACTGCATTGTAAGTTAAGCACAGTGATCCTTGATGTTCTACTCATTTTTGGAAGTTGGTGCTAAATAAGTTCTTACTAAACAATTGAACAATGAAAGCAATCTGTCAGTGAGTGGACAGATAATTACTGAATGGTTGTGGTAGAAGCTAGAGTGGGTGACCTGGAATCCTACCTGCTGGGTCTCTCCTTCTGTGTGCTGTACCCCCACACCAAGGATCCCTACATCTGTCCCACCACTCAAGGTTCTATAATGGATTGCAGTTGGAAACAACTGAATTCCATGAACTTTAAGGTTTTCTGACATTCTAACAATGCAGTGTCCTTGCAAATATTAAAAGACTTGAAGAGACCTCACTTCAATAATTGATTTATTGATCCATTTAACGTGCTATGTGCCAGGCCCTGTGCTGGGGGCTGGAAATAGAAGAGTGAAGAAGTCAAATAATGCCTTGTACATGGCTCAGCATCTAGTTGGAGGGAACGGGTCTTAAGATGCATGCTATAAAAAGGAGAATGGGAAGACATTTTAGAGCAATTTCTTTAAAATATTCATGTGCAAGAGAAAAACCTGAGGAATTTGTTAAAATTCATATGAATTTAGTGGTCCAGGATGGGCCTGAGATTCTGCATCTCAAACAAGCTATTAGGTGATGCCAAGGTGACTGGTTCAGAAAACACACTTGGGTGACAAGGTTTTAGATGTGGATAGCTAGATGATCTCGTCCATACCTGGAGCTCAGGGAAGAATGCCTGGTGAAGAAAGAGAGGGTGAGGCATAGTATCAAAGAAAAACCAGGAGTCCTCCAGGTGGAAGGGGGAGGGTATTTTCATTGGAAGGAACAAATAGTGCAAAGATGAGAGAGGGTAAGGTAAGAGAAAATACTTTAGTCAGGAACTATAAATATCTCTAGAGCAGAGAGTTCAAGGTGAGAGGGAAGGGAAAAATGAAAAACAAGGCTGCAGAGTTTAGCAAGGGTCAAATCATAATGGCTTTTGTGAGTCCAGTTCAGGAGTTTGTTTCTTCTCTCTGAATCCGAGTAAAGGTTTTCAAAAGGGGAGAAATTTAAATAAATTTTCTCTGCCTCTCAAGGGTTCCCAAGTGTACAGAACATCAAAGTGTAAAGGAGAGAGAGAGCAAGACATTTCTCTGGAGCCAGGATCCTAGGGTTCATGTCCGGGAGCTTTGTCACCTACTTGCTGTGTGACCTTGGACACATTCCATCCCTATTTTGGACCTCATTTGTAACATAAAAGGGCTTACCTACAAAGTCCCTTCCAGCTGGGAAGCCAAGGAACCAGAAAGTCCTGAAGGTCATGGAGACCAGAAAACGGATACAATATGTGTAGAGCGTTTTTTCACCTCCAGTCCAGTATGTCTTGTTTCTCAGGGACCCAAGCTGGCTAGGGAGAGGAGAGCTTTTCCCAGGGGCAAGCGGATATGGGATGAACTCTGTTAGGATTCTCTTGGACTATGTAATCACCAAACCCCAAAATGTTTTGAACTCCTCCCTGGATCTGGGGTTATACGACCCCCCCCCCATAAAATTTAGTGACAAAAGGGCATTTCTTACCTCTGCCTAATAAATCTATCAGGGAAGTGTTCCCCAGAGCCTAGTTCTCATGACAACTATAGGTTACTGCAAACAGCTGCTCAAAGAAGGCCTGCTGACACCCAGCTGTCCCAGCCATAAGGTTCCTATTAGGAGACTTGAAAAACTGAGCTCATAGGTGGCCAGGGACCAGAATTTGCTCCGGTCAGAGCATCCTTGACCACTCTTAGGCTTCTTTATATTTTCAGTTATGCTTGATCCAAATGATAGGGTAGAGAGAAAAGAGCAAGTACTTGAAGAGATTTGGTTTCAATGAAACTGATCTATCTAGAGCAGGAATGGTATGCTTCCATGGCAGACATTGCTAACAGATCACAGAAATTACTCCAGGCATGGTTCAGCCTGAAATCCTTCTCAACGTGGCAAGGAAAGGCATTTTTTCCCATCTAAAAAGAGTTGGCACATCCATTGCTATAATCTTAGCGAAAATAAGCAAGTTGGGGTAGTCACTGTACGGACTTCTAAGATTGCATTCATCTCTTCCTTAGATATCTTGGGTTAACTCTCTTCCAATTTTAAAAAAAAAGTGTTTTGTTTATTTTTTGTTCTTTTTAGATGTACATGGCAGTAAAGTGTCTTTTGATGTATTATATATAGATGGAGTATAACTTCTTATAATTAGGATCCCACTCTTGTTTCATGGGGTGTGTGGAAGTTATGTCTTATTCATTCTACTGTCTTTGCTATTCCCCTCCCCCTCTCTTCTCTTCATTCCCCTTTGTCTAATCCAAAGAATTCCTATTCTGCCCCCTACCCCACCCTGCTTATTGTGTGCTAGCATACACATATCAGAGAGAACATTCAGCCATAAATAAGAATGAAATTATGGCATTTGCCCGTAAACGTGGAACTGGAGACTCTCATGCTAAGTGAAACAAGCTGATCCCCAAACACCAAAGGCCAAATGTTCTCTTTCAATTTTTAAGATATTGGGAAAAGAACAGATTTAGGCTCAGATGACTTTATTTTTTTCTGCATATTTTAACATTTCTGAAATCAGGATGGATTGTGTATAATGAAGATTCACATTCATTATATTCCTTCTCAAAAGGCTATTATTTTCATGTACATTTTTATAAGTAAATTAGAATTTTCCATAATTCTGGAGTTCACTGTGATATTTTTGTAAATGTATTTAACATAATTTGCTCTGTTTAATACTCATCACTACCTCCTTCCTGTCCCTCTTTTCTCCCCCAAACCTCTTCCTCTACTTTGTTGTACTTCAATTAATTTATTATTTTAATTGGTATATTATAGTTCTACATAAAAGTGGAGTACATTGTAATATATTTGTCCTTGCACATAGCATGATTTGGTCAGTTTCATTCTGCAGTT